CTAGAGATACATCACTTTGATAGAAGCTAGTTAGAGCAGCTAGCTACAGCAGTTAACCGGACTCAGGTCTGCAGCGCTGTCACGCTGACCACACGGTGAATAAAGACAGTTCGCTTACGAACACAGACATACTTTTACAGCAATGTGAAGCTACGGTTATATTGATGGTGATGTGTAGAGAACTAACCTTACAGAAAGTTTTGGACCTGTCACCAAAAGGCTTTAATTAACACTGAGCCAAAACAATCGGGCTCTCGACCAAAGTACAGGTGCCGAGTAGAGCCAAAAAGAGCCGCTCCGCCTTGACGTGGCTGTGCTGCTGTCATTTCCAGGCCATGCCAAGCATGCAGAGTTTAGAGTCTGTCAACAACTCTGGTAGCGAATTAACAGCAGGAGCATTATTGCTGAAGTCTGCTGCTCGTATCCGCAATTAATTTTGCACCGTTCCTTAAGAAAAAAAAATATTATAAAGACCGTATCAAGGACCTTCAGTCCTAATGGTTCATGTGATGCATGTACTTTTTTTTTAAATTCCTGCAGTCAACTTTTGATGTTCAGTCACATTTTACTCGAATTAAGTTGGATTTAATTAAAGCGATCCAAAATCCTGCGTTACTTATTTATGAACTTTTTTTTCACCCTGCTGGCAAGGAAAGAAGTGATTCTGACAACCTTGGTTTCTTTCTTTTTTTCTAATTAGTGCACCTGGTTAGTACTGTTTTAAATGTTCCACATTTTTTTCACATATGCAAAATAATATATGTATATATATTAAAAAAATATTAACATCTACAATAATAACAATACAATCACTATCAAGAGCATGTAGTTTCTCTCTTTCACTACTGCTTTAAATTTACAATGTGAATAATGGAGACATTTTATATGTATCAAATGTTTATTATAAAATATACTGTCAGTATCAAACTAAGAAAATACAATAGAGTATTTAGTGTATAGAAAACCTGCAGTGATTAAATTGTGCAGTGTATGCCTATTTTTAAATCATTGTGTAATCTTAATACAGTAGTAGCTCACCATTATTTACATGCACTTACATAAACACTGGAGAAATGAAAAAAAAATCAAAATGAAGTACTTTAAGGTGCGAGAGTGAAAACTAAAAAGAAACGAAGAGCGGTACAGGAATGTAACAATTTGATGCGTTCCTTTTGCTTTCCCTTGTTCGTTTAAACTGGTTGCACATACATTAATCCACTCTTTTTTTACTTTTTCTATCAGTTAACCTGTTCATCAAATTTGTTACTCCTCTTCCTGGCATCTCCAGCACCGTAAGCATCAGATCCATCCGGCAGTTGAGCCAGTGCTGAAGCGACTTTACTGTTGTCCTCACCTCCCCCATTGGTATGCAGACTATGCAAGATCTGGTCACTGGGGCGTTTCCAAGATGTTCGAGTGGCAATCCAAAGAATCAGACCTCCAAAAAGCACCAGGAGGACTCCCAGTACGTTCACAAAAATTGCCTCTGGGGGAGAATCCTTATACTTTGGGTCTTTCCTTTTGTGATGTAAACAGAGGAAAGTTATTCTCACTGTTCAGCATTTACACTGTATTCATCTCATTTTTAACTACTCTCACTCTCTATTTTAATACTTACAGGCCAAAGATGAGTTTCTCTGTGATGCCCATAAGTGCCACGGCTATGACACTGGTAAAAAGTAAAAGACCGCTGTAGACGTGGAGAGGCATAAACGCTGCTCTCCAGGACACAGGTGTAACTGGTATCAAGTACATGCCAACTCCAAGAACAAGCTGCCCATTGAAAGAGAGAGACAGATAAAACCCACTTCAGATCTGAAGACTGCTGTCCACTATGACTTAGTCTTTTAGAACCACCAGTAAGAGGTTCAGAGAAAAATGAGAAAGCTATACTGTTATACTTTAGATGTGTTAACAGTCCAGTCTAATGGTAGTAGTAGCCACAAAAACCCTGCAACAACTGTGCTTCTTAGGTAAAATGTTAGACGATACTCTTATCTTCAATATGTAACAAAAGTAGGTCTTTGTTGTAACTGCTTTAAAAATACCAAATGATTGCATCTATTTACCTGCAGACCGTACAGTATAACAGCCGTGAGGCCCAGCCAGCTGTGCAGACTGTACATGTTGGGAATGTTGGCACCATTGTGGAAGTCAAAAACTGCCACCATGGCTATAACAGCAAAAACGAAGGCTAACAAATTCAGTCCTGCATGAATGAACTTCATCATGAGTTTGCTGCACTGCCAGGTCCAGGGGAGCCTGTAGACTATTATTGCTGCAAGAGAGAGTAAGACAGGCAGTTAGCAACAACTTAAGGCAACAATAAAGCTTTTTTTTATTTTTTTATTTGACTACATATTTCTAAAGTTGTAGGCTTACTTGCTTTATACTATCTAGGATGTAATGTTTGGGTCTCATAGCCTCATGAAAATCATGTGGGGGGGGAAAAAAAAGCACACAGGTGTTGTAATGCATGTAAAATCTATATGCCATGTGCCATGTCACAGTGCATGTTCAATCATAAGTTTCTCTCTTTAGATGAAGGACGAGCTTGTGATTCCCTCATTACGCAATGAAGGCTAGAATCAGGCAGGCAAACAATCCAAGCCAGCCCACTTTAAAAAAGTCTTTGAAAAAGGTGAAGGAGGACATCAATTTTGGATTTTTATTTGCACCTTTTAATCCCGCAGATGTCGTGGTATAAGAAAAAGAAGTGCACTTTCAACAGTTAGTCTCAATTATGTCTTATAAAGATAATAAAGACCCTTCTTACCTATCCCCTGCAAGAAAATAAATCCAGTGACTGTTAATACCGGATGCCAGTTGAATTCGGCGAGCCCTCCATCCCAGGCCAAACCTTCCTTAAAATACAGAACCCATCTGAAGACGAAGATTATGGAAACAAAGCCGGCGGCGGTGGCGGCACACAAAGCCAGCAAGAAGTGCTTCAGGTTCTCCATCGGCGTCTGCAGCGGGGGAGAGGCAGAGACTGGACCGGAGCGGCTGCTGTCAGGTACAATAACAACTTACAACTCAGCGCTGCCCGTTGAGGAGGGACCGCGGTCACGTGACCCCGAGCTGAGAAAACGTTTGGAGGGAGGGTGTTTTGCAACTTTTGTCGTTACAGAAGAGAGTCTGGGATCGGTTTTATAAGATGTTTTGGGTTTTTTTGGTGCTGCGTCACCCTCTGACTCCCGTTCCTTCAAAGTCTGAGCTCCAGCGGGATTAAAGAAACAGCCATGTGGGCATGACTAGACATCTGTGGCTCTGGTTTTGCTTTGTACTGCGTTTTATGAATAGGCACTTTTCTCATTATCCCCCCTATTTATATCTTACTAATGCACCACAAGACACATTACAAAGAAAACATGAAGACAACCCTTTGCTCTTTTCTTTTAAAGCTATACCTACACTGTAAATATTAACGTGTCACTTACCCTGACAGACAGCTACAACATTTAGGGTTGGAACATTAAGACACATAATCCTACAAACAAGCTCAAAGCCACTTTTGTTACAACTGAAGATTCATTATTTAAAAACGTATTAAAGAAGAACACTTGAGTGGTTTTGCAGCTGGTGGCCACAGATCATTGCTCTTTTCTTATCCTTCCTGGCTGATTTCTTTTCTCTTATTTTATTTTGCTTTTTGTTGGTGTCAGTGCCTGCAGCCCATTTGGGTTACAGAGGTAGTCCAGCTCCTCAAGGGTGAAACATCCATATGTGCTGTTGCAAGGTTTGCTGTGACTCCAAGGATCGTTTTTTATTCAAAATATATTTATTGAGTATTTGTGGATATAGTTTACAAAAAAAAAGAAAAAAGGAAGAAGACAGAAAACACAAACTGTTTACAATGAATACAAAACAGAACTTCTCATGTTGGAACATTGTTTTCCTCTCTTATTATTTACCAAACATACTCCAATGATAGTTTCAAGAATTTAGAGGAGACACCAAGTGTGCCATTACATGAGGAGAGCTGGACAGCGCCAAAGAATGGCATCAACCCAGCAGCAGGACCAATATCTGCTTCTTCATGTAAATGACAGTGGAAACACTGCCAGTGTCACTGCCCACAAAATGACCTACTCGTGCATGTTTCTGTCAGAAGGGATACAGGAAAAGGAACAGTCCTGCTAAACCATTTCCTTTTGGGGAGGGGTTGTCTTGTTGTTACCTCTCCACCACATCCACTGTGACTTTGTGCCAAGACAGGGGAAAAGGATTCACACTGTGACAGATTGATATCCCTAAAGTCCTCCTTTAATTTTTGAGAAGTGTCAAGATTTGCAAGGGAAATTTGACTTAATTCTGTGAGATATATGCTTTTGATAAACCTAACTTAAAGGTTAGCTAGAACACACAAACTAACTGGTTTCAATTTGGAGATCTATGCAGTAAAGAACAGACATACTTTATTGTACTGCTACTTTTAATTTCCTATGAGCATATTTAAGAGCTAAAATGAAGATATTTAATACCATCGCATCTTTTTTGTAAACTGAAGTCAATCAAAATGTGTGATACTATCTCAATATGTGGGACAAGACAAACACGTGATCACCCTAACTTCCCATTGTGACATTCTATTTTCTTGTATTACATCTTATATTGAATACAGAAACTGTTTATAAAAAATTATAGAAACTTGGTATACATAAGACTCCTGTTCCTGTTATGAGATTTTCCTTTCACGTTAATTTGGAGACTTTTTGGAAAATCAAAACCTCATATCTCTAACCCATGCATGTAAATAGACCCGCAATTTGCATGCGACAATCATTTGTGAAGTGTGACACTGTCACCACATTTAATCTGCATGAGTGCACTGCAGCTGGCAAATCACTTTTCTGAAACGTACATCATTAGGATGGCGTCAGGCAATTTCATCAGCTCTGACTGTTAACATCAAGCAAACAATCGCATAACTATCTCAGATCCTGGCTCAGAGCAAATATCAATATCTTACAATTTGGATATGCATGACGGAAAAAGAGAAGGCTGAAATACAGAGCAACTTGGAAAAATAAAATATTTTATTTTTAGAATAAAGGAAAAAAGTCAGATCAAGTTTAATGGTACATACTTAGAATAATCATAACAGAAAAAAAATAGTGATAATCAAGAGTAATCATATGAACTTAGGATGCAAAGATCCATATATTTAAAAAATATATATATATATAGGAGAAGGAAATCATATTAAAAAAAATCTTAAGTGATCATGAAAAGCTTTACAGCAGCTTTGATTCAGTTTTGCACCGCTTATGTTTTGGTGGTGAACAGTTTGTAAACATGGCAGCAGAACTTGGCGTTCTTTTGTTCAACATGAACAATCGTGTCTTTGTCGAAGAACACCTCGTTTTTATTTGTCTGAAACAAAAGAGAAGAGCACACATTAATCCACATCCAGACTACTCGCCCTGATGTTTGCATACTCATGTCAAGTTACTCACCTCATCCCAGGTTTCAATCAAATCGATCGTCCGCAGTAATTGTCCGGTCTGGTTGTCATGGAGTTGGATGCACGCTCTTCCTTCTCCCTCCTCGCCATTGGTTACCACGATTGCCAAAAGGTCAAGCTCATCCTCATATTCCACCATTCGGAAAGTCTGCATAATCAAAAGGCCGTTGTGAATTAAGTGCTACGTACCATGTTCTCTTTAATGAACAGCTCTACTTGCCTGCAGTGTTTAAACCTGAAAGCTTATCAATGAAATTCTTCAGAGGACATTACTCAACACATATCTCACCTGAGGAAATGTGTAAGGACAATTAAATGTATAAAAATCAATTGAGCTGCCATCCTGAATATTCTGCACTTTAAATAAATATGCAGGTTTTTTTTTATTCTTCTAAAAATATTTTGGCGCACACAAAAGAGGCTTTGGCTTTCCCCCAGGAAAAGGAAACTCCCACTCGCTCTCTGCCTTATGTTACATGGAGACCAATTTAGGTTACATACATACTCACCTCCAAAGGCCCATTTTGAGCCAGGAAACCTCTGAAAGGTGTTTTTAAGGACAGAGGCTCTTGTATGATGACTGAATTCGACTTAAGATCCTCATTCATTTTGAATTTTTATCACTGAGCTGTAAATCTATTTAAGCCTGGTGGGGTGTTGACAATACCTCATCAGCGTCTTACAGCTGATTGGGGAAGAAAAAACTGTTTTGCATGAAAATTCAGCTGCAAAGAGAAATAAACCCTGCATCAGTTTGCTAGTTTTAGCTGCAGATTTGCAGTATTAAGAGGTATTTACAGGAGAGGAAGTGTAGGCAGGATCGAGTCATGTCTGCCATGATGGATAAAATTGTCAACGGAATTTTTTTTTTGTTTAGGTCTATTACAGAGGAAAAACTAATATACATTGCTTTTTGAATAAATAAGAAGAAAAAGATCTTATTTATATTCAGAAACAAATATATATATATATATATATAAAAATAAATACAGAGACAAATATAAATAAAATATACGAAGGGGAATAAAATATACGAAGGGGAGATTGAGATTGAGAAAAGTTTATATAATTATTTAGCCTTGTTGTGCAAAGAAGCC